TCTAATTGTTGGAGATGTTGGTTTAAAGTGTTGATTCTGGCTCTTTTTTCTTTTTTGATGTGTGCATTTATTGCTATAAATTGGCCTCTAATCACTGCTTTTGCTGTGTCCCAAAGATTTTGGTATGTTGTGTTTTCATTCTCATTTGATTCAAGGAATTTTTCAATTTCAGTTTTGATTTCTTCTCTTACCCAGTCTTTCTTAAGGAGGGTGTTGTTCAGTTTCCATGTGTTTACTCTTTTTCCCTTGATCTTCCTCTTGTTGATTTCTAATTTGATAGCATTGTGATCTGAGAAGATGCTTTTGCAGTATTTCAGTGTTTTTAAATTTATGAAGGCTTGCTTTATGGCCTTACTTATTTGATTCTTTTTAAAAAACATTTATTTTGTTGTTGTTGAGAATATCCACATCAAAACATGCCCCCACTCCACTGTTCTGCATGTCCAACCCTGTTACCTCGATGCCATGGTTCGAGTGGTGCAGCCATTCTCTCTCCTTGTCTGAGTTGTCCTCCTGCATTCACATGAACACACTGCCCCTGGGGTTCCTATCTGACCTTTTGGGTCACTGTCGGCTCTATGATCCCATGTGGATGGATCTTGAAAGAGTGCAGTGCTCAAGGCAGGCCTTAGATATACCTCAATAAGTAGGAAGGAAGGTGAGTTTCCCAATAGATTCTTGACCCTTTGCTAAGAAAACAGTGTTAGAGTTTGCAAAAATAAAAACAAGTTTGTGTGAGAAATGCAAGTCAGATTTTGTGATTTCCTGTGGTTGGAGTCAGTGGGGTTCTGTTCCTGCACACCCTGGAATTTTCCATGCTCACAATACCAGCTTGGATTAGTTTAATCAGTTCTACGAGAAACGTCCCTTGCAAGTTCCATTTTTAGATTGTGTTCTTGTTTTTCTTAAGATAACCATTGTAAACGTGAAATCCTATTTTGTTAGGATCTGCAGGAGATCAAGAAAGAGCTCTCCAAGACTGGCGAGGAGAGGCTTGTTGAGGAGTCCAAGGCCAGCCGGAGACTGACCAAGCGGGTGCAGCAGATGATCGGCCACATTGACGAGCTCATCGCCCAGCTGGAGGCCGAGCAGAAGGCTGGCAAGCTGGGCACTGGCCAGGGCGCCCCCACGGGGTGAGTGCAAGGCCTGGGCTGTGGGCAGGTGGACGCCCCCGGGGCCCTTCCGACTCCAGAGCTCACAGCTTAACCTCTGTGCTGGCCTGATCCTTGCACCTTGGAGCCAGTGGTCCAGCTGGAGCCCAGCCTCCCCTTGGACTCACACCGTCCACACCTCAGTGCTCAGCTCACTCAGGCAGTCCTGAGAGTCTCTCTCCTCTGCCCGACTGCCCCACCGCCATCAGCTCATCTCTGGGGACCGTAGCTGTGGCTACCTGGTGTCCCTGCACCTGCCCCTGCCCACCCACACCACTCTCCAGGTTTCAGCTAGGTGGATCCTTCCAGAATGTATATAGGACCATGGTTCCCCTGTCGGCCCCAGCCTCTTCCCAGTGTGCCCCTCAGCCACACTGAAAGCTTCTCTCTCCTCACACTGTCAGCCCTGCCTGCCCCTGCCTCTCTGCAGCCCTGCGCCCACCCATGAATGGTACACGTGAGGGCAGGAAGCTGTCTCCTTGTGTCTCCCCATGGTTATCTGGTGCCACTTTATCCCAAGCATCCAGAACAGCAGCTGTCAAGGGGTCTGGCATTCCATGAGTATCTGTGACTGGTGCAGTACCAACAGCCACAGCCATGGTAGCGGGCTCTTGCCAAACACTTCCTGGGCCAAGCCCTGGGCTAGAGGCCCTCCATAGCTCGCCTCACCTGGGCCTCCCAAACACGCGAGCAGGTGCTGGGTAGGCTGGCCCCAGAGCCCTCCATGATGCTCACCTCCATGACCCTGCTCACCCTCCAGGTCCCTGCTCATGGAAACCTTCCTCCACCCCCAGACGAGGTCAGTGTCCCACTTGGCTTGGCCTGCCGCATTCGTGTTTGCCCCCTCCCCTACACCGGGTCTGGGGCTGGGGCTGGAGGGCCTGGGGCTGGCACTGAGGGCTGCCCCCTCCCTCCATGACCACAGTGGAGGCAGGTGAGGCCCGAGGGCCACTGTGTGGTCACCACATGCACCGCCAGGGGAGGCAGCTCCAGACCATGGGGAAGCTGGCTCTTCACCGAAGGCCCCAGGCCAGGTTGAAAGACAGGCTGTTTCCTGTCTCTCTGAGGTGGCTGGGCTGCAAGGAGCTCTGGTGGCTTCTGGTTAAAGCATTGGGCTGCTAACCCAAAGGTTGGCACTTCAAACCCACCAGCCGTTCCAGGGGAGGAAGAAGAGGTAGTCTGCTTCTGTAAAGGTTTACAGCCTTGGATATCTGCTGGGGGCCGCAGCGAGCCAGAATCAGCCAGATGGCTATGGGCTTTTTGGGTTTGGAGGTGGCTGGGTCTGCCCAGAGGAAAAAGCCTGGGAGAGACCTGAGGCTGCCTGGGCCGTGCCCCAGTGCGGGGCCGAGCCACCCTGGCTGCACTCGAGGCAGGCCTTGCCCTGGTGCTGGGCGGGAGCTGCCCTGGCCACATTCACATGGCAGGCTGCATCCCCCAGGGAGAATGTCATCAGCGTCACTGAGCTCATCAGTGCCATGAAGCAAGTTAAGCACATTCCGGAAAGCAAGCTGCTGAGCTTGGCCTCCGCGCTGGATGAGAACAAGGATGGCAGGATCGACATCAATGACCTCGCTAAGGTAGGCCGGGCCAGGCGAGCTCGTATAGCCAGCTGTCAGGGGAGTGGGCGGTGCTGGGCCCCAGGGGGCTGCTGCCACCCTTCTGAGGGCGCGCTCAGTAGAGCTTGGTGGCTGCGACCATCCATTAGGTGTTGGGTGCCACATGAGCCTGCAAGTGAGACTCCACTCAGAGTGCAGACATGCAGTGGGACGCGTGTGAGCGGGTGTGTGGGCGAATGCACTCAGTGTTTGGCTGTTCCCCCCGATGGGTACTGGGTTCTGAGTGCCTCTGCCCACGTACCCCGAGGAGCAGATGCCCAGGGTGGACTCACCTGTAGTATGCGCACCCACCTGAGAGGTCTTGTGGGACCCGAGGTACAGTCCTTGCCAGGGCAGGCAGGATACTTGACTGTCCTTGTCCCTTTTCCCAGTGGGACCCGAGGTAGTGTCCTCACCAGGGCAGGCAGGACACTTCACTGTTCTCATTCCCAGCAAAGCTCTGGGGCCCTTGACCCTGGTAGGAGGGGTGGCCGGGCCCGTAGGACCCATCTGTACAGGGTGGCCTCTGCCCCTGTGGGAGGTACCCACAGATTCTACACCCTCCCAGGCCGGGAGTTGCTGCTGCCCGCTGCCTGGAGAAACTGCGAGGCAGGGGCCAGGACAGCCAGCGGTGGGGGGGGGAGCCAGCACACCTGTGCATACGGTGGCACCCCGAGAGGGCGTGGGGAAGAAAGCACGGCCAGGCTGCACAGGGCTAGGTCCGCGGGTGCCCGCTACTCGTGTTCCCCAGCCCCGAAGCCTGGAGAATCAGCCTGCTTCTGAGAGGAGGTGCCAGCACGGCGGTCAAGGCTGCTTCTGGTGGTAGCACTGAGCGAGCTCATGTTTCTGAGATTCACGCCAAACCAACCAGTTCCCTTTCAGTTCAGAGAAAAAGCCAGACGCTGTCAGACACACATGCCAAAACTGAGGTGTGGACTGAGCCCACGTTGTCTGGTCCTTTCCCTGGGGCTCCATCCTCAGAGCCAGCAAGGTGGATAGGTGGCCCTGTCACACCCTGTCTGCCCTAGAGAGGCTAGGTGGCGGGTGGTCAGTGGGTGCCACCATCCAGCACAGGCCTTGGTCCCCACGTAGGACCTTAGTTTCAGTGACCTTGCTGTGGGGCCCCCACTTCCCCTCCCCTTCCTCACGGGCCTCAGGTCCCTGTGGGAGTTGACCAGGCCTCTCACCTGATTCGGCTGACCACATCTGGCTCCTTGCAGCCATGGCCCAGGGTCTTGGATTCCCAGGATCAGGGCAGCCTGTCATCATGTGCTGAGTGCTGCTGTTCGGGCGGCTTGGCGCCTCTGGCAGGAGAGCCCCGCACGCCAAGCGTCAGGGGCCAAGGAGGGCCTCAGGAGGATCAGGTGAGTGCGGGGCCCCTCTTGAGTGACGTGTTCCTTTGCCTGTGGACACAGGTGATCGAGCTGATCGACAAGGAGGACGTTCACATCTCCACCAGCCAGGTGGCCGAGCTCGTGACGTTGCTGGAGAAGGAGGGAAAGGTGGAGGAGAAGGAGAAGGCCAAGGAGAAGGCCGAGAAGGAGGCTGCCGAGCTGAAGAACTAGGTGTGGGGCTCCGCTCTGGGGCCCGCTGGCCCTGCACGTCTGCCCGCCCTTCCCACGCCGTGCCGCGTGGTGGTGGCCACGACGGTGAGGGCTGCAGGTGCTTCCTGGTGGCATATCTCATATTTTTTCTGGAATAAATCAGAAACTTCCATGATCAGGTCAATTTGAACTTTCCATCATTCCATGAAGATTCCATCAGTCTGGACCCTCACGTCCCTCCCCGGGAAGCATGTCTGGATTCATGCCATGATGGGGTGGCAATGGAGTGACCCTGACCCAGTGGCCCAGTGGGCAGCCTGCTGGTTGCCTGTGTCGTGGTCACACACGAACCCCCGGCTCCGAGGCAGGCAGGGGGCAGGCTGGGCAGGAGAGCTCTGGCAAGGGACACTTATGAGTAAAAATTCTGTAAAAACAAGAGCAAAGCTCTCCTCGGCTCTGAGGGAGATACTGAAACGAGCCTGTGGACCGCGGTTCCCAAATGTCCGTGCAAACGAGACCTTCCTACACGTTTTCACAGTAAGCGGTGAAAACCAAGCCCGCGTCTGTCCGTCTGTGGCCGCCGCCGGCAGCGTTCGTCCTGTGATTTCCTACCACGTGTGCTGGAGCTCCCTTCTCTGCCTTTGGTTTCCACCTGCTTCTCCAGCCAGTCCACTGGCAGTCCGCCTGAGTCACACCCGGTGTAACTGCTGTGAGACACTAGTGAAGCATGTCCGGCCGTCCCTGCTCCAGTTTGGACATCTTCCTACTATGGATTGTCCGCCTTCTCCATTGTGACCCCGGATGGCTGGTTTCTCCAGGGGGTGGATGGACACTACACAGGGCCCTCGTGGCAGCAGCAATTTGAGTTCCCTGCTTTGGGAGCCCTGGTGGTGCAGTACCTAAGGCACTTGACTGCTAACCAGAAGGCTGGCGGTTCAAACCCACTGGCCACTCCTTGGAAGGAAGATGGGGCAATCTACTTCCATAGTGATACCGTCTCGGAAACCCAAGGAAGGGTCACTATGAGTCGGGTCTGACTCGACGGCACATAACAACAACAAAGCTCCCACCCCCACCCAGTGGCACCTCTCAGCCAAAGCCCACTTCAGGCTTCTGTGATTTCTCGTGTAACTTAGTGCACACTTGAGGGGGAGGGACAGGGTGGTAGCCCTGCCTTCCCTCGGGGCTTTGCAGGCTCAGGGCCCTGAGCGCCTTCAGAACGAACAGCCTGCTGTGGCCACACTCCTGGTTACCAAGGAGCGTGATGTCACTCCATTATGAATAGTGGGAAGTGGCATCCTCAGGGCAGCTGGGTGTCTCAGCGCCACTGAGCGTGCCTGTGGCCAGTACTGCACACTTGGGCGTCTCCAGCACAACTGCTGCCTCAGGGTGGGGGCTCGCTGCTGTGGAGAGACCCCCTGCGTCCACACCCAGCTACAGCTCAAGGTGCGCGTCCTCGGGCCTCACACCTGCCTCCTCCCCATGGCTATGTGCAGCTGTCACTCAGGCCGAATGGTCCTTCAGGCCTCATCCAGATACAGGAGCTGGGACGCAGAGGCACACAGGCCTGATGGAGGGGGCCTGGAAGCCACAGCCTGGAAATGACTTGAAACTGTTGTGCACTTGGCCGTTACTTCAGAGACTTTACAAATAGGAATCAGGTGATGCGTTCCCACGTGGAAACCTGTGTTTTTATACTTCAGTGATCTGAGTTTTTGATGCTTACTTAATATTTATGAATTATTTTAAACTCACTTCAGTGGCCTGGTTTTCAGTTGGAAAAGTGGACTTACCTTGTGAAATAAGCAGCTTTGCGCTTGCCAGTTGTGCCTGACGGACAACGGCGTTTGTTCTTGTGAGCTGTGTTTCCTCGTTTGGGACCCTCTTTGGCCGTCCGCTGTGCCATGACCTCATCCTTGTCGTCACCGCCTGGGCCACGCTGCCACCTGTGCCATTCCTCCATCGCTGCGTCCACGCTGGGCTGTCACAGCGCAGGCTGCCTCCTGCCACCGGCCAGCACTCCACCGCTGCACACTGGCCTTGGTGCCACTCGTTTCCCAGGCCCTCTCTCTCCCTCTCCACATCCACCCAGACCTCCTACCATCGTCTCGGGGAGCTGCTCGAGCCAGGGATGCTGCCGAGAGCGGGGGTAGGAGGGACCGTCGCGGGCTACTCTGTCCAGCAGTAGAGAAAGGCTGGCCGTCTGTAGGCATGTCTCTCGTTTGCCTAGCAATGCCGATGCTCTGAGACAGGCTCTCTCCCCTCGTCGTTTTGTGCTTGGTTCACTGTGCCCAGTGTTATTTATTGCAGACAGTTTCCAGGTGCCAGTGTGTGAGACGGGGAAGGAAGTGTTGATGGGAAGCCACCATCCAGCTGCCCATGGTGCCTGGGGTGCAGGCCCTTTGCCTGCTTTTTCAGCAGGAAGCAGAACCAGGAACTTTTATAACACGTGATTTTTCCTTCACTCCACCTTGATGCCCACATTTAAAGTGAGGAAGCAGAACATTGACTGGGGCTCTCAGCGTCATTTTGTAATAAACGAAGGGCACCTTGGTGGGTTTTGGAAAATAGTGTCCCTGCCAGAGGTTCTTGAAGTGCGGCCCTGGAGCCGTAGCACCTGCACACCCCGTGGAAACACGAGTTCTCAGCCCACCCAGGCCCAGCTGAGAACTGCCCATGGTTGGGTGTGAAACCTTTTTAGTAATATTTTTATTAAAATATGAAATTAATGTTAACATAGGAGCTCTGGTAGCGTAGTGCCTAAGGCACTTGACTGCTAACCAGAAGGCTGGCGGTTCAAACCCACTGGCCACTCTTCGGAAGGAAGATGGGGCAATCTACTTCTGTAGTAATACTGCCTCAGAAACCCAAGCAGGGGTCGCTATGAGTTGGGTCTGACTCAACGGCACATAACACCACCACCAACAACAATGTTAACATAACAGTTCATAGTAATATTTTGGAAGCAGAGAACGTGTAAGAAATCCAGGTGGGAACCATCAGATGTCCGGGTCTGTGGCAGTGGTTTGCCGAGGGACTTGGTGAGGGCGGGGCCAGGCGGGCAGATTCCAGCAGAGCCCAGCATCCTCAGACGGGCTTCAGGTGCCATCCCCTTCCAGCTCCTCTTGTGTGCTCATGCCTCATGCGACTGGCCCCTCCTGTCCTGTGGCCGTGGCACGTGCAAAGGCCCAGTGACATCAGACGTGTTACTGTGTGTCCAGACTGCTGTGATGCAGGGCCGGCACCTTGCTGGTCCATCCCCAGCGTAGTCTGCCGTGTGTTGACCATGGAATAAAGTGATAGCTCGACTGCCTGTCTGCCGTGTGTTGTAACTTGGCTTCCACGCGGGTCACGAGGCCTCGCAGCCTGGCCGGGCTCTCCCCAACCCCAGGACTCCTTTGGCTGTCTCAGGCCCAGAAGCCATAGGGCTTGTGGGGGCTGGCGACTAAGCCAGTGGGCTGGGGCCTTGGCCCAGGAGTCCTCCAGGGGGCCTGCTTTTCTGAGACGCAGCCGGGCCTTACCGTGATCCCGTGCATCAAGGTCAGGGAGCGACCTGAGGAGGTAGACTGTCTTCCCTGACCAGTACCTGCTGCAGTGCACAGGCAGGGCCAGGAAGCCAAAGGGACAGGCCGGAGACCCACCACAGCTGGCTGTCCTTGCTCATTCCAGCCCAGAGGGCAGACAGCAGGTCCCAGGCCTCTTCTCTGGGGCTCAGGAGGGTGGGCCCTACGCTGGGAGGTAGAGAGCCATGGCCTAGCTGGGAAGATAGAGTGGAGGGGCCTCCAGGTAGAGGGGCCTCTGGCAGCAGGATGGGGGCACATCCTGTCTCCCTGCTCCTCCCAGCCCCCAACTTGTCCCCAGCCCTTAGCAGCCACCTCAGTGGGTGGACCACCCTACCCTGAGCCTGAGTTATACCCTTTGTCTTGGGGCCTCACCCTTGTGAACCACAATCACTACCCTCACAGGGCTCCTGGAGCCATCGAACCTACCAAGCCCTGCACCCTGCCGTGGCCTCTGCCCAGTGGCACCATCTCCTGCTCAGACCCCCCACCCACTCTGGCGACCCTCACTCCCACTCATTTGGTATTTTCATGCTCACACCCGACTGCCCGATCCCTTCTCTCCCCAGGTTCACCCTCTCGCTGCCGCTCTCTGAGGTCCTGAGTGCTTGTCGGGGTAGAAGGGACACTGTGGGCACAGGTGTGGCTGGGGACCTGCCCCAGCCTCGACACGCGCCCTTGGCCTGGCCTCTCAGCTAACCCCTAACCGTGCTTGTCCACGTGTCTGTCTGCTCACCACCATCTGAGCACCTGGACTGGTGAATGCTGTGGAGTGGGCGAGAGGGGCCAGGGGCCCCGGGGAGGTGGCTCAGGCCAGGGTCTCTGTGGGCTGCCAAGGGCGGTGAGGAGCCAGGCCTGGGCCACAGGGGCTCAGGTCTGAGAGCTTCCTGAGGCCTGGGTGGGACCCTGCGTCCAATTGGTCTTTATGAAGTCTTTCCTCAGAAATTCTAAAGGCCACACACTGGACAGGCCTGGCCCTCGGCTCCCCCTGGCTGAAGCAGACAGCCTGAGCCTCAGAAAGCACAAAGACAAGAAATGCTCATAAACGAGTCTCTAAGACGGTCACACGTACCCAGGACTCATTTAGCCACTGTTGGCGGTGCCGGGACACTGGGCTCTTCGCTGTGCAATTAGAAAAGGGGGGACAGGAAGTAGCTTCCTGCCTTCTTGGAAATCTGCACACATCCCCCTGCAGGTCCCCAGTACAGCCCACCCCAGGGTAGTGAGTGAGGACAGAGGACAGCACTGCCCTCAGGGGAGACAGACCTGCCCCAAGCTGTCAGCCTCCTCCAGGCGGTGCAACTTCTGCCAGGACTAAGCCTGATGACCAGCCACACCCCAAATGCTCCCTCCCCCAGGATGCTGACTTGCCCCCAGAGGCAGAAGGACATGGGCAAAGACTGACCTAGACTGGAGGAGACTAAAGAGACTTGGGAGCCCCCCGGTGTTGCAAACGGTCACGCGTTTGGCTGCTGACTGAAAGGCTGATGGTTAAGTCCCACCCAACCCCCAGGGGCATCTTGGAAGAAAGGCCTGGCTATCTAAAAAAAAAAAACGAGCCACTGGAACTCCTTACAGAGCACACATTTACTGACACATAGGGGCGGGGTGGCTCCAACTGGTTCTGGTTCAAACAGACCGGACCAGCTCAGTGCCTGACCACCGGAAACTATCCACTCTGTCACAGGGGACATGTGTGGGAACGAGTCTTTGTTCTTCCGAGATGGCCACTGAAGTACTTGTAAACCTTCCGAAACATCTATCTACTCCCCGGGAGCGCCCAGAGGCGCTGGACACCTTGCCTAGTCCGGGAGGCGGGGTCCGACAGCTCTTAAACGCTCCCTCCGCCGTCTCTGGAGGTTGGAAATGTTTGTCAAGAAAAGTTGGGAGCAAATTCCAAAGGCCACGAGGCCCAGGGGCCAGAAACTGTGGAGACGCAGGTAGCAACAGTAGACACCTGCCGCCCCCACCCCAGGCCAGGAGGGGCAGGCGTTTGGGGAGGGCACGCGCAGTCTGATAATGAGTTTGGTGCCCACTAAGCTCCCTGCTAACCAGACGGCTGGCGGTTCAAACCCACCAGCCACTCCTCGGAAGGAAGGTTGGGCAATCCTACTTCCGTAGTGATACTGCCTCGGAAACCCAAGGAGGGGTCGCTATGAGTCGGGGCCGACTCGATGGCACATAACAACAAAGCTCCTTCGCGTGCCCCGGGGGCCTGGCTGTTGCCGGAGGAGGGGAGACAGCCAGGTGAGGGCTAGGGCCTTAGGAAGAGCCGGACCGGTGGAGGGAAGAGCCGGGGCGGGGCCGCAGGAGCAGCTGGCAGGTGAGGAGCGGGGCGGGGCCGAAGGTAGTCCCCGGACAAGACCCGGCCGCGCGGTGAAGGGCGTGGCTAGAAGAAAGCTGGCCAATGGCCGCCAGGTTGGGGCGGGGCCTACACCGCGGCTCTCCGAGCGCCCCTCGCCCACCGGCCCCGGCGCCGCCCGCCCGGCTCTGGCTCTGCCGCGTTCCATCGTGCCCGGCCTGAGTCCGTCCCTCGTGGCTGACCGGCCTCAGCCCCTCTCGTGCCTCCTGCCCGCCCCAGGCTCGGTGCCCCTGCAGTCCCTAGGCCCAGCGGGGCAGTGGGGTCCGACGAAGCGTGGACCAGGCCCGACGCTAGGTGGCGCCCCCGTCCGCGCTGCGAGCCCGCGCTCCGCCAGCCCACGTGGGGACGCCCAAACCGAAAGGCGGGCGGTGCAGTCCCCACGCGGAACCTCCTTGGCCCAGAGAGAGGGAGGAAGTCCTGAGCACAGGGTCGGTCTCTTGGGCATGAGACGAGGCAGGGGCGCACGATGTAGGGTCGCGGTGCAGGGTCACAGCGCAGGAGGCGGGGTCCCAGGCGGGAGGAGGGGCCTGGCCTGCGGGCAGGGGGCGCTTTCCTGCGTGGACTGTGCGCGTTAGGCGGCATCTATGATCCGGGAGGGAGACCCCCGCAGCCTCCCCGGTGCAGAGAGCAGGCCCAGCCCCTTCCTCTCGCTGCGAGTAGGAACAGCGTGAGGAGAGCGAGTTACCCAGAACGGTTCTACGGCTTTGTCCCGAGATGAGACGGGAGGACCCGGCGGGGAGGACACTGAAGCCCAGAGCAGGAGGGGTGGGCAGTGCCGGGCGCGGCCTCCAGTCTGTCCATGGTGGCATGGCCGCCTGTCCCTGAAGCCACCCTGGCTTCCCCCCCACCCCCGGCCTGGCTAATTTCCGCACTTCCCGGAAGCCGCTTGAACTTCCTCCCCACCAGGTAGTGCTGGACTGTGTCCCGCCCCCATCCTGTGTGTCTTCTTACTTCGCTGGGTGTGAACTGGAGAGGCACCATGCAGCTGGAGGGGCAGCCGTGTGTGCCTCGAGTGTGTGCGTGTAGACGAGGCATGACGGATGGTGGCCAAAGGGCTTGGTTTACCTGTGGCTCCACACAGACCCACCTGGAGACCCACCTGCTCCCCAGCCAGGGTGGGCTGAGGAGGTAATGAGGGAGAGGCCATAGCCCCATCACCTCCCTGGATCCTGACAGCCAGCGCCCACCAGGGGGCGCTGCTTGCCTAGAGCTTTTCCTCCTGCAACACCCACAGCCTGGATACCTTGGGGCCCCTAGTGCCCAGTGGCTGGCACAGACCTTGGTCCCTGGCATGTCCGTTTTACCGGTCCTTTTATGGACATTGGGCCACCTGTATTCCTTGCCCTCAGGCGCCCCACAGACCAAAGCAAAAAAGACCACCACTAACCTTCAATCTGCCCTCCTGGGCCCCATGAAGCTTGCCACACTGGCATACCCTCCCCCTGGCTTCTCCCCAGGACACATCCTCTCTATTGTCAGAGCCACAAAGAGCAGGGTTGTAACCCCAGGTAGTTGGTGCCCTTTGAGGCCCCCCCCCCCAGCAGAACTTCCCTCTGGGACCCTAGTGGTTACTGTTCCCTCCACTCAGTGACCCTTTCTCCACTAGGGGGTGAATGACAGGATCCCTCCAGGAAGGCACCAAGCTGCCCAGGAGCCCAGAACGACAGGAGGCAAGGAAGCAGGGTTCAAATGAGTCATCTCTCTTTATTTTTTGGAAAGTACGCCTGCCCCGTTAACAAAAGCAACCCACCAGTTTTGGCCATGACACAGCTGGGCCCCGAGATCAGAGACCACCCCGGCCACCTGCCCTGCGGCGGCCAGTCCACGAGCACAGGGACAGCCACCCAGACACGGGGCCGTTAACAGTACAAAAAGTAACAAAACAGAATTCATGAATTTCTCTCCCAAGTTTTGAAAGGTAGCAGCCCAGGCTATAAACGTCTAAAGCATTGCGTAAGAAGTGTTAAGTCTACAGCAAATACATCTTGTAAAAACTCAATAAATTATATATATAAACTTGTAACATCTAATAACATCTGAACCTGCCGTGCAGGGCCAGCCCCCTCACTGGAAACCGCCCACACCCAGAACAGGGAGCAGTTCCAGCCTGGATGAAAATCACACCTCATCTTGAGTTCGAAAAAAATAAATTCCTACAGAAATCAAAGTTCCCTGCGAAGGCCAAAGGAAGTGAAATCCCCCTGGACTCACGTCAAATGAAATAATTTTTAGGCTGCGAGGGGGGGCTGGCTGCGGGGGAGCCTGTGCCCAGCACCCGCTGCACAATGCACTCTCCCACTCCCTGTAAATGCTGCATTCTCGGCTGTTAATAAGTTAAAACTTAAAACTCTCTGCTGATTGGCTGGCTAAACGCTACAAACAGCGGGACCAGGGGTCGATAAATAGCTTTACAAATATACAGTCCAGGTACAATTTTTAAAACAAAACTGTGATTTCAAATAATTGGCTTCATCTGGTGTCTGTGCCCCCCACCACGGGGCCTCGCCCACTCCGGGCACCCCGTCCTCCATTCTCAGGGTCCTGGACCTCAGCTGTAACAGGCTTTTCTTCTTCAATATAGATATTTATGTATGACCTGCATGTCTGTACCTCACACACACAGCATTTATTTATATAAATGTACATACGCTTCTGGAATAAACCTCTCCCATTGTAGTAAAGGCTCCCCTGCCTTCAGGTACCCGTAATTTCAGTCTCTGGGGAATAGGGTAGGAAAAGTGGGGAGGCCTGGAGGTTGGGGGGCTGCTTGCTGACACTCATCCCCGACCCCAGGCTCAAGGTGCCACTCACTCAGTAGGAGGATCAGCTCACCAGGAGGGCTGCCCTGCGGGCTCAGCTTTGGGCAGGGGAAGGGCCTGGGCCCAGCCCGGATGCTCACCCAAGCCCGGCCTGCCCTGTGATGTCCCTGTGGGGTGGCAGTGGGGGGCAACGCAGCAGTCTGGCCCCGCTCCCCACCCCAACTGGCACCACAGGGAACCCCTTACATTCTATGTTTGGTCCCCCAGAATAAAGGCCTCTGGGTGCTACAGGCACAGATGGCATTGGCCATGAGGGTCTTGTACACAGCGTGGGGACCCCTGCACCCGGGGGCCGCAAGACACTCTTCTCACGCACGCACACGCGCGCACACACACACACATGCACAGAAAGGTTCCATCTGTCTGTCCATCCATCCGTACTGGGGCCCAGGTCCGGGCCAGGGGGCCCCGGTGGTCGACTGCATATGGCAGCGACCAGGGTGGAGGGCCCAGGTCTCACATTGGCGGGGGCTCAGCTCGGTGGCCCTTCATGTCCTCGGAGCCCCGCTGCTAGGGGGTGCAGGCAGCAGCAGGTCGTGGGTAAACACAGAGTCGTCGCCTGAGGAACCAGAGCTGGGCGTGTCCTGCCCACCAGGTGAGTACTGCTCGAAGGGCACCGACAGGTCCAGGTACTCCTGTGGGCAGGGGGCCGTCAGTGGTGCTGCCCCCGTCTGCCCCCACCTCCACCCCGGCTCCGGCTGTGGCGTCCCCTACTGATGTTCTGAGCCAGCACGGCGCCCTGGGGCCTGGCACTCACGTCAGTGGATGTCACAGTGAGCACACGGTCCAGGTCCTCCACTAGCTGCTTGAAGGTGGGCCGTTGCGAGGGGACAGCATGCCAGCATTCCCGCATGATCATGTACCTGCGGGGACCGGGTGCTCAGCCACCCCTGCCCAGCCTCACTCACCCTCCACCTGCCCAGCCCCGCCCTGCCCTGCACCGGGCCCCAGCGGGCGCCGTGAGTGGGGCGCACGCGGGCGAGCTCACAGGTCATGTGTGCAGTTGGCTGGTTTGTCCATTCGGTGGCCTTCCTTTAGCAGCTTGAAGAGCTCCTCCACGGGAATGCCGGGGTACGGTGAGCCCCCCAGCGTGAAGATCTCCCAGAGCAAGACACCGAAGGACCAGCTGTGGGAGCAGGCCACGCACGGTCAGTGAGCCTGGCCCCAGGAGCAACCCCACCATGGGGAGCACGGGGCACCAGCGAGAGCTGGTGGTGGGGACAGCGTGCCCCACACAGCTCCTTCCCACAGGGCCCTGGATGGGACACATACACGTCACTCTGGTGGGTGTAGACACGGTCAAACAGGGCCTCGGGCGCCATCCACTTCACAGGCAGCCGGCCCTGGGCGGAGGGGGAGGGCATGTCAGGCTGCCACTCCAGGCGACCCTCTGGCCAGGAGCTCGCCCGTCCGGGCCTCCCCCCACACCCCTGGGCTAGACTCACATTGGTGGTCTTCTTATAGTAATCCAAGTTGTGCACATCCCGGGCCAGGCCAAAGTCGGCAATCTTCATCACGTTGTCCTCCGTCACCAGCACGTTGCGGGCTGCCAGGTCCCTGTGGATGCACTGGGGGCGGGGACCAGGGGCTGAGGGCGTCCCCTATCAGCCTGGGCCCAGCCCCATCCCGAGGCAGCCTGCTCTGGCCCCCGACCACCACCGTGGGGTCACCCTCAGCCCAGTCCCCTGCTCACCTTCTGAGAGGCCAGGTACTCCATGCCCCGGGCCACCTGGTAGGCACAGGACACCAGGTCCTTGAAGGTGAGCTGCTCCTCCGGTAGCTTACAGGTGTCAAAGGAGTAGTCCATGCCCGGGGGCCGGCGTGCCCGCAGGTACTCCCGCAGGTTACCTTTGGCGGCGTACTCGACCAGCACATACAGGGGCCCTGCAAACACTGGCCATCAGAGGAGACCAGGGCCCAGAAAAGGGGAACCCATGACCCCTTCTGGGTGAAAAAACCCACTGCCATCGAGTGGGATCTGACTCATAGCGACCCCTCCTTGGGTTTCCGAGGTGGTTTCTCTATGGAAGTAGATTGCCCAACCTTCTCCTTCCAAGGAGCGGTTGGTGGGTTTGAACCACCAGCCTTCTGGTTACTAGTCAAATGCCTTAGGCACTGCGCCTCCAGAGCCCCCTTCTGGTTCAAGGGGGCCAAAGACTTGGCTTTCCCAAAAATTCAGGGTTGGGAAGCAGACTGCCACAGAGCAGATGCCACAGATGGCCTGCCCCAGCTCCCTCCTGCCCGCCCCACCGCCCCAAGTGCAGGCCCTGCATGCAGGACCGCCCCGCGGCCCCCAGCACCTACCGCCCTGCGTGCAGGCCCCCAGCAGGTTGATGATGTTTTTGTGCTTGCCGATCATCTTCATCATCTCCATCTCTGACACGAGGTCTGAGAGATCCTTGTCAGTAGCGTCATCTACTCGGGGCGGGACACATGTCACTTCCTGTCTCCCCAAGCCTCCAGCTCGGACCCAGGCATCCCCTGCCAACCCACCCCCTCACCTTTCAGCATCTTGACAGCCACAGTGATGGGCTTGGCGGCCCGCTCCTTGTCAATGCCGATGGCCTCTGCCATGACCACCTGGCCGAAGCAGCCCTCCCCCAGGGGCTTGCCCAGGGTAAGCCTGGTGGAAGATGCAGGTGGAGATGAGCCCTCCCACCACACCCATGCTCAGTGCCACCACCTCCGAGAAGCCCTCCACACTTAACAACTGCTCATGCGATGAAGGGCTTTGCTACTTCAGCCTGTCACCCTGGGCCCTGACCTTCTCCTCCACGGGCTCCCAGCCCCATGTATGCATCCTCCATGGGCCCCGAGTCCTAGCCAACACCACCCCTCCCCCACCACTGGAGCCCCCACCTAGTATATGCCCATCCCCCCAGGCAGGCTGGGCCCAGCAGCCCTGCACACACTTTCCCCATCACCATCCGCCCAGGTGCCCACACTGACCGGGCCCGGGACAGCTCCCACTTGGGGTCGGCGGGCAGCTCCAGCTCAGAGACGTTGGCCAGAGCGGGGCCCTCCCCAGAGGACAGCCTGGCTATGCGCACCAGCGGCGTGTTGGAGTTCATGGACGAGTTGGACTCCAAGGACACCTGCTTGGGTGGGCAGGGCCAGGTTGGTGCCGTGGAGGGCGTAATGGAGGAGGGGCGGGGTGGAGTGTCAGACCCTTGGGTATTGGGAAGGGAACACTCTTTAAAAATCGTTTTGTGCCCACGTGGTGAACAGGGAGACCAGAGAGAGGCAGGGGCTCACCCAGTGGCCAGGGCCAGCCCCCACCTCGGGGAGGCCAGGTGCGGCGTCTTGGGGGCGGTGGGGGCTGAGGGACAGGTGCAGGGGGTGGCGGGCCCTGGGCCGCCTCCGAACCTGGTATCTACTTTCTGTTACCTGTCGTTTGAGCGGGAATCGGGAGACCTTGTGCACGGCGGGCGAGCCCAGGCCCTTCTTGGTGGGGTTGTGCAGCCGGCAGAGTGTCACAGCCACCACCACGAGGATGAAGAGGAAGAAGCCCACCCCGTAGCTGAGGACACCTGCGTACACACTGCCCGCCTCATCCACCTCCACCAGCTCCTCTTCGGCTGCAAAGACACGGGCGTTGGGGCCAGCCTGCCGTCACCCGCCCACACTGCGGCTGGAGCCCCGGGCACCAGCAGGAGCGAGGGAGGGAGGTCCCTTCACAGGGACCAGGGCTCCTGGGGGCAGGGAACCGAGGCCTCGGGGCCTCCAGTTGGTCGAGGGTCCTATGACTGGAAACGCCTGTGAGCAGGGAGAAGGCAGACCCAGAGCAGAAGGAGCCAGTGGCACCAGCAGCACCCACACCGCCACCCAGGCACCCAGAAAATGCCAAAGCCGCCAGGCAGGGCTGCCAGGGACCCAGCCGGGACAGTGGGAGGCTTGAGGGAAGCCCTCTGGAGCCAAAACAGGGCCGGGGGGCTTGGATCCCAGGCCAGGTATAGAGCCAGTGCGAGGCTTCCAGGAGGAGGCGGCGGCTGCACGCCGCTGGGGTCCCCCGCCCCGTGTCCAGCGGCTCTGGCAAGTTCCGGGCAGCGCCCCGCGCCCCAGAGGACAGGCGCGCAGCCAGCAGCGTCCGAAGCCAGTACCTGGCAGCACCACCAGCCACGCAGAGTGATGGGAAAACCCGATAGAATTGCCCGCCAGACACGTGTACTCCCCCGCGTCCTCAAAGGTGACATTGCGTAAGGAGAGAACCTCTAGCTCCTTGTCGGTGGTGTTAACGCCCGCCGTCTACAAAGAGAGAACAGAGCGCGATAGGCCAGAGCCGGCACCCCCACAGGCTCCGCAGCCACGTCCACGAGGCGACGATCCAGCCAGGCTGCAAGGAAAACGCCGCCGCCACCGCCGCCAAGGCCGCCGCCAAGGCCGCCGCCTCCTCCGGCCACACGAGCCCGCAGCCAAGGCCCTCCACCGGCGAGTCCTCTGTCCCAAGTGAGCGTCAGGCGTGCTGCCAGCAGGGCGCCCGCGCAGAGGCAACATGCGGAGTTAGGAGTTAGCGCGGTGACTGGGGAGGGGTGCAGGTGGGTGCACAGACAGAGGACAGACACACGAGACAGGCAGCACGTGCGCAACAGCGGAGCTGGTGGCTGGAGACAGAAAGGCGGACAGCCAGCGCTCATCGACGGCGTGGAGCGTGGCCCTGCTGGCGCCGGGGGCCTCCTGGGAGAGCGAGGGTGTGGGGAGGGGCGGCGCAGGCCACGGGGGCTCGAAGGGGACTGGGGCGCACTGGAGGAGAGGAGGGGGCCCTGGCAGGAGCAGGGAGCGAGTGGGACGGGCATGCGGGCGGGCGGACGGGCAGGCGTGCGCATGGTCAGAGCATTGGCGCCGGAGCTCGGCGTGGCAGGCAGGCGTGGGACAGAGTTGTTACCTGCGGGGGGCCCGTGAACACGCAGCCAAAAGGCCTTCTCGGCCACGCCTATGAAATTGGCGGCTCGACAAAGGTACTCGCCCCCGTCCCGCTCGGATACATTGGTCAGGCGGAGGCGTGCGTCGGCCTCCACACTCTCACTGATCCAGGACTGCGGGGACAAGAGACCCGGCTCAGGAGCGCATGCGGCTGCCCACGCAAACCCAGACTGGGCTGTGAGTGCAGTGGGGGCTCGAACCGGGCTCCAGCCCCGGCTATCCTGGTCCAGCACGCCAGGCAAGGGCGGCTGACTCCTGAGACTCTGTAATGGCCCCTAATGTGGCAGGAGGAACGGGTGTGGGGCCAGGAAGGCTGCCTGGAGGCAGCGTGCAGGCAGGTCTTGGTCTCATAGGAGAAGCCTTTTCTGCAGCTGTGCCCCATAACCCAGAGCCCGGCCCTGGGAGGGGGCCCCCAGGAGGCCATCTGTGTCAGGAGAGGAGCTGCTCCCGGCCCAGCCCACCCGTGCCCACCCCTGGGGTCTCAGCCAGGCCCACAGCAATGCCGCCCGGGCCAGGGGCACGTGAGTTCACACGTGGACATGCACTCAAGGCAGCATCACCAACAGCGTCCTCCTCGTGCTGCCGGCCTCCCCCCGTTGCCCCGCCCGCGGCCCGCTCTGTCTGTAACAGATGTTTCTCCTTGGGTTGGAGTGTCGCAACCATCCCCACTCGGCGCCGCCCACCACCCGACTGCCAGCGTGGGAACACAACGGATGCCGACCCAGCCCAAGGGAGGCGGGCGGGGTGGGGGGCGGCGCTGCGCTCACACAGTGCACGCTTTACTGGGGCCACTTCTGGGAGCGACCACCCGTGCCCCTTAGCCCAGTGTGTCCCCTCAGCCAGGGCACTGCTTTAGAGGGGGCTGGGAAGGTCCCCCAGCCTCGGTGGCCATCACCAGCTACTGTGCCTGACCCAAGAGGGCTGGGAGGGCGACTCGGCCCTCCTCCAGGCTGTGGGGCTTCAGCAGGCTGAGACCCCGTCTCAAAGGCAGAGAGGGACGGTGAGGCCCCGGCATAGGGTGGAGCTTGTGGGGACTGGTGCCCCGGGCTGGGCCAGCAGAGGCCTCCTTGCACCTAGGCCCCGCCCCCTGCCGTGGCGGGCCCCGCCCCCTGCTCTGGCGGACCCCGCCCCTGCCCTGGCGGACCCCGCCCCCTTCCCTGGAGGGCCCCGCCCCCTGCCCTGGCGGGCCCCGCCCCCTGCCCTGGTGGGCCCCGCCCCTGCCCTGGTGGGCCCCGCCCCCCTGCCCTGGTGGGCCCCCACCTTGAGGACGGTGACGTAGGGGGTGCCGTCCGGGCCCACTTTGCTGCCGTTCACCTCCACGTGCTTCAGCCACTGGATGTGGGGCTGCGCATCGCTGTACACCTTGCAGTGGAACTCCACGTCGCTGCCCAGCACCACGGTCTGGTTGGCCGGCAGCCCCGCCTGCAGGATGGGCCGGTGCGGGGAGCGCTCTGTGGGCACAGACGGAGCTCAGGGGCTGCCCGGCCGCGCCGCCAGCCGCCGGCCTACGTGTGAGCCCAGGCCTCACCCAGCACGTCCAACGTGTACGTCTGCTGGATGCTGCCGAACTTGTTCTCCACGACACACGTGTAGTTGCCGCGGTCGGAAGGCACCACGCTCTCCATGACCAGGCTCCACTGCTGCTGCCGTAGCTGTGGGCCAACACGTGGGGTGAGCGCCGCCCAGCACGCCCCACCTTCTGGGGGAGGCCGCCCACCGCCGCCCACCTTCTGGGGGAGGCCGCCCAGCACGCCCCACCTTCTGGGGGAGGCCGCCCACCGCCGCCCCTCACCTTGATGCCCCCGATGCGGTGTTCACCACGGAACTCCTTGCCATTCTTGAGCCAGGAGATGGAGGGTGTGGGGTTGCCGGCGGCTGGGCAGCGGAAGCGGACGGTGTTGGCGGCCGGCACAGCCAGGAGCTTCTTGTCCATGCGCTCAGGACGCGTCCAGTAAGGGGCCCCTGCAGGCGGTGGGAAGCATGAAGGCCGTGGCCTCACCCCACTTCCAAACTGCCCGCCCGCTAGCCTCCTGGCCTAAGGAGAGTGGTGGCTTTTCAGGGTCCCCTGATGAGGCCAGTCAAGGCTCCCAGGATTCTTGGCACCACTAACCAAAGCCCCCAGGGCATTCTCGGGGCCCACCCCTCTGGGTCAGGTGTCCCCTCCTCTCCAACTCTTCTCCAGGAGTTTAGGGCACTCTACCCCAGGTGAATTCAGAGCACAATGTACCCACCAGGCAGGTCCACATAGGGGGGGCTGGGGGTCACCTCAGCTCAGCCACCCACATACTGTGTGGTCTCAGAACCCAGCTGACAAAGGCCAGGCCCAGCAAGGAACCAGGCTGGCTCAGGTCACACTGTCCAACCAGGCAGACGAGCCAAGGCAGGCCCTGGGAGCAGGTCACAGGAAGCCAGACAAGACGCGGCCACCCACCAGTCCAGCCAGTGGTGGCAGCGGCCCACTGGATTTCTGCTGAGACCCTCAGCCCCCCTCTGCAATGCATCAGGGCTCCGTGCGCCACGCTAGGGGCACTATGACAGCTCCGCCTGCGCCCTCCGTCCCAGGTGTTCAGGGCTGCTGCGTCATCACCCCATCATCATGGGTTATTGGTTTTTCTCCTTCCTCTGGGCTGGGTGAGAGCTGCCTTCCCACTGAGACTCACAGCGAGGGCGGGCAGGCATCCCCCAGGAGGGAGGGCTTGGCCTTCGGCAGGAAGGAGGAGAGACGGTCACTGTGACCACCCATACAGCCAGGAAGCACCACTGCGTGGAGGACGCTGAGCTCTGGGAGTGGGGGGCACTGGGGACAGATGCCAGGGAGGTCTGTTTCTTAGGGATCAGAAGACCAAGATGACAAAGCTGCCCCCATCAGACAGGGACTTTTGAAAGGTGGCTCTGCCAGGGACTCTCAGAGCCCCGAATCCACACAGGGGGAAATGCCAAACACCTGCCTCCAACAGCAGGCTGGGCCCTAGGAACAGGAGCTCAGGGTCGCGTGCAGACTCGGGAAAGTGTGTTTGCATTTAGGGGAGGGGTGGCTGTGGCTGAGGAGCGGAAATGTAGCTCTGAACTTCCTGGCAGCCAGAGAGAAAAGGGAAACGAGGAAAAGTCCAGCAGCTGCTTGGGGACACAGCGCCTTTCCCGACATTGGTCCTGCGGGAGTCCCTCCCTCAGCTGCTCCTGTTCAGGCCACCCCCCTCTCAGAAGCCCCCTTGAGCTCCAGGCGCCCTGCTCTTTGCCCCTGGCCTCTGTTCTCCACGTTTGGCCTGCTGGTTCCCTAGCTCTCCATGTCCGCGGGACCCTGGAAGGTACCCCACCGTTTCCCTAGCTAGCTCTCCATGTCCGCGGGACCCTGGAAGGTACCCCACCGTTTCCCTAGCTAGCTCTCCATGTCTGCGGGACCCTGGAAGGTACCCCACCGTTTCCCTAGCTAGCTCTCCATGTCCGTGGGACCCTGGAAGGGAGGTGGCAGGGCCAGGCGCAGCAGAGGGCTTGATCCACAGGCGGGCAAACCCCATTGTAACAAGATCCCCTGCAGGCACGTGTCCACCCCATCCCGCCCCCCATCTGCACATGGACATCTGCCGACATCTCCAACATGGCTCCTCCAGACCAGATGCCCCAGCTCCCTGCCTGTCCTCTCCACACCGGTGGTACAGCCCACCCTCCACTGCTCCCCAACACTGGGGCACTGTCCCCACCTGCTCTCACACCCACACCGCCCCTCGGGGACAATGCTAGTGCTATCTTCCCAGCATGCCCAGCCAGGCGTCCCTGACCCTCGGCTGCCATCCTCTCCCACCTAGGACTGTGGCAGTCACCTCTGCTGCCCCCCACTCTTGCACTCACTCACTCCACAGTGGTCAAGGGCCTGGGAAACCCTGAACACCCAGATGCTGTTCTACTCACATCTGTGATGGCCCCAGCTCACCCAGAGTCGACACCAACATCTTCACAGCACCCACAGACCTCACTGCCCCAACCCACTGGCCAGTGGGGTTATTATCCAGGGCCTCAGTCTGTCTGTCTGCAGTGTGGGTCACCTTCCCACTCTTTGCCTGCCACCCAGGGCCCAGGGCTCAGCATCCAGGAGCTACCCAGACCTGGGAAGAGTGGGGTCTGGCAGGTGGGAAGCAGACCTGGAACCTGGTCTCACCTGTGTCCTCAGCCTCATCCTCACTGTCTTCGTCGTCTCCGGAGGACGGTGCATCTGCCAAGCAGGAGAGTGGGGCGTGTGGGCAATAGTTCCGTGAAGAACAGCTGCCTGGCACTCACACCCCATGCCCATCACTTCTCAGCTTCGTGGCCGAATGCCTTCCCCCTCCCAGGTCTCAGTGCCCTGCCCAGGAGGACTTCACAGGTGGGGTGGAGCCTGTCATCCACACAGCCTCTCCTGGGGGCGGGCCCTCCTCTCAGCTTCAGCACCTTGGATGGGCGAGATTCTCAGGGCAGGCGCGTCGCAGCCACTGCCTGGGGACTCCCCTCCCACTGGCCTCTCCTATGGGCACCCCAGCTCCTTGGAGCAGCTCAGCCAGCCCACCCCCTGCCCCCGGCCGGCACTCACCTGTCACCCGCACGCTGAAGCTGCACAGGACATGGTGGGTGAGCCGCTGGCGGCAGCTATAGCCACCAGCGTCCTCATGGGAGACGTTAAGCACCTGCAGCCTCTGTGGCCCCACCAGGACACGGTCTGAGGGGGCCAGCCCCGAGCCGTCCTTCACCCAGATGGTGGGCCCAGGGGCACCACCCACGAGCGGATGGCAGTTGAGTTCCATGGTGTCCCCACTGCCAAAGACCAACTGCTCCTGCTGGGCCGGCTCAGGCGCTGGGAACTCTGCAAAGGAGATGGGTGACTGTGAGACCACAGCGGGCCCCACAGCCACCCCGACTTTACAGATGCCTGTGTAGGCCACAGGGGGGTGGCGCCTGGGGTGCAGAAGACTTCACCAGAGAACGCGGCTCAAGCCAGGGGCCAGCAAAGTGTTCCCCCAAAGAGGACCGGGCTCCCCCACTCAGCCCCCTGGTGTTGTCGCAACTGCTTAACTCTGATGTAGCACCAAAGTGCTGTAAAAACAATGAACAAGGCTGCTGGAGAGTCAGTTGTGACTCCTGGTGACCCCGTGTGTGGCAGCGGAGAACCGTGTGAGCAGAAAACAGGGTTTCCTCCGTCTCCTTTCTTTAAGGACATTTGATGTGTTCAGTGAAGCTTTGCAAAGTGGTTTAGGTCCCCACTCAAGTCATTTCTACTTGTATTAAGTAGTATTGGTTCCATTCTTCACAATGTGTCAACATTCTCAGGAATGGAAACATTCTGGTTGGTCTGTTTCCATTCATCTAGTTTTCCTCTTCCCTGACCTTCCCATCTTTATTTTAAAGTCATTGTTGACTATTTGGTCTCATAGAGGTGATTTTTTAAAGGAGCACAGTACTCAGGGGTGATAGTCTTTATTTTCTGAGCCAATCCGTTACGCTGCTAAAAGGTGACTTCAGAGGTTGAAAGAGCATGTAAGGGTGACAGTCTCAAGGAGTCCTCTAGCGTCAACCAGTCCAGTAGGTCAGGTTTTCTGAGTTTCTGTTCCGCATTTTTCTTCCATTTGGTCAGGACCCACCTGCTGTGATCCTGATCAGGACGGATGGTGGCGATAGCGGGGCTCTGTCTAGTCCCTCGGGTCTCAGGGCAAAGGGGACATGTTGCACACATACACCGTTAGCCCTTTGCCCTAGCTGCTTCTTTGTGTCTTTGGTTTCCTTCTTTCTCTTTCGCTCCAGAGGAGTAAAGAACAATAATTGTCTCTTTCCATATGGTGTTTTAATGTTTTAAATTTTTATTTTCACAGTGTTTCCTCCCCTCCCCTCCCCTCCCAGCCCTGGTAACCAACAAAGAAAGCTTCTTTCCATATATAAACCTTTCCTTGACTTTTTACAATAATCAACTAACACAATATTTGTCTTTCTGTGATTGACTTATTTCACTCAGCGTAATGTCCTCCAAATTCATCCATGTTATGCGGTGTTTGGCCGATTCTGTTATTTTTTAGGGTTGCACAGTATTCCATTATGTGTATGTACCATAGTTTGGTTATCCATTCTTCTGTCGATGGGCACCTAGGTTGTTTCCATCTTTTGGCTATTATAAATAGTGCTGGGATGACCATGGGTGTGCATATATCTGTTCTTGTCCTGGCTCTCACTTCTTTAGAACATATAACTAGTAATGGGATTGCTGGACCAAATGGTATTTCTAATTCCAACTTTTTCAGGAATTGCCACACTGCTTTCTACAATGGTTGTATCATTTGACAGTCCCATCAGCAGTGTATGAGAGTCCCAGTCTCTCCGCATCATCTCCAGCATTTGTTATTTTCTGTCTTGTTGAACTTTGCTACTAGTGCTGGGGCAAGATGGTATCTCGTTGTTTTGATTTGCATCTCTCCAATGGGAGTGCTGGTAGTGTAGTGCCTAAGGCACTTGACTGCTAACCAGAAGGCTGGTGGTTCAAGCCCACCAGCCACTCCTCGGAAGGAAGATGGGGCAATCTACTTCCCTAGTGATACCACCTCGGAAACCCAAGCAGGGGTTGCTATGAGTCGGGTCCGACTTGAAGGCAGTGCATAATGATTGTGGACATTTCTTCATGTGGTTGTTGGCTGCCTCAATGTCCTCTTTGATGAATTGTCTATTCATGTCTTCGGCCCACTTTTTAATTGGATTGTTTGTCTTTTGTTTATTAAGGTGTTGAGTTTTCTACAGATTCTAGAGGCAGGTCCCTTGTCAGTCATGTTGCTGCCGAGTATTTTTCCATATAGTTTTAAATGGCTGGCTTTTCGGATGTGGATTGCCGGGTCTTTCTTCCGAGGTGCTTGAGGATGGACTCACACAGTCAATCCTTCAGTTAAGTGGCCAAGTGCATTCACTGTTCTCACCACCCTGGGCCTCCAAAGGCAGCCAGCCCTAGAGAGCACAAACAAAGTCATGGCTGTGTTCCAACAAGGAGCTCTGGTGGCGTAGTGCCTAAGGCACTTGACTGCTAACCAGAAGGTTGGTGGTTCAAACCCACCAGCCACTCCGTGGAAGGAAGATGGGGCAATCTCCTTCCGTAAAGATTTACCACCTTGGAAACCCAATGGGGGTTGCTAGGAGTTGGAATCAACTCGATGGCAATGGGTTTGGGTTTGGTTTTGTGTTCCATTTATGGGCACTAATTTTTGGGTTTTATGTAATTCTCATGTGCCATATAAAACATTATTCTTTTGATTCTTTGCAACCATTTAAAAATGTGAAATAAATAAGGCATGGTATTTTCAGTCGCCTTGCATGCATGTGAAAGCTGGACAATGAATAAGGAAGACCGAAGAAGAGTCGATGATGTCTTTGAGTTGCGGTGCTGGCTAAGAGTACCGAATACCACGGACTGCCAGAAGAACGAACAAATCTGTCCTGGAAGAAGTGCAGCTCAAATGCTCCCTGGAAGCGAGAATGGGCAGACTTCGTCTCACCTGCTTTGGTCATGTTGTCAGAAGAGACCACTCCCTGGAGAAGGATGTCATGCTTGGTAAGGTGGAGGGTCAACGAAGAAGGGGAAGGCCCTCATTGAGATGGACTGACACGGTGGCTGTAGCTTTGGGCTCAGGTACAGCACGGATCGTGAGGCTGACGTGGGACTGGGCAGTGTTTCCTCGTATTGTACATAAGGTCACTATGAGTCGGAGCCGCCGCAACGGCATTAAGAACAACAGCCACCACCAAAATGTGAAAACTCTCTCAGCTGAACGAAAGCGGGCAGTGGGCACAGTTTGCAGACCAGCGGCTTAAACGGGGCACAGAGGTGCAAGCACCGGACGGGCGGGCCCCGCCTCTCCAGGGGGGGCATTCACCCTAAGGAAGGGTCTCTCAGTCTCTCCCTGCACAGATCCTCAAAGGGGCGTCAGATTCAGTTCAGGTGGGGAGAGACCAGAGGCTCCCCTGGCTGTGTTGTTGTTAGTCGCCTTCAAGTCCAGCTTCAAAGCCAGCAACAATGTTGCCGAACCTCAAACATGTTACCAGCAGAAGCAATTAGTACTCCCTGCAGGGGTCTGTTTGTCTGAAGCTGAGGGTGGGGTGGAGGGGGGTTCAGAGGGGCTGAATGCCCTGTACCCTGATGTGGGGGATATGTTGACAGAACAAGCCCCCAGCTGCATTGGGAACGCAACATCTTACCGGTGAATCGCCTCTCAACAAAGATGGCAAGAAAAAGTACACGCTAAGGAAGGTTGGGCTATCAACTTCCATAGGGATACCGCCTCAGAAACCCAAGGAGGGGTTGCTATGAGTCCAATCGACTCCAGGACAGTGAGTTTGGTTTCTGGTTTAAGAAAGAGACAAAAGCATGTAAACCAAGGCCAGGTTGGGCCACTGGGTCTCCCAAGGCCGACTGGCAGGTGGGCTCCTGCCTGCTGGGGACCCGGGGCCCTTATTTTACTGAAGAGGACCCTGAGACTGGGGGTGGAGGAGGCTACTCGGGGTCACCGGGTGAGAGTGAGTGGTGAATGGGGCATAGAGACCAGCTGAGGAACCGGGTGAGCCTCCCCCTGCTGGAGCCAGGAAGGTGGGGTTAGGGTCATCACCACGGGCACATGTGTGCAGGTGACCTCTGGCTCTCTTCCTCCAGTGGTCAGGGGCTGCCTGGCTCCCGAGGGGCCACCAGAGCCTGGAGCACAGGGACACACACCAGTGGGGCTGACAGTCCCCTCAGGCCTCCCTGCCAGGCCCAGACAATGACCGGTACAGGCAGGCAGCTTGGGCTCGGGGCCCAGGACAAGGGTGGGTGGTCCTGCCTGCAGGCCTCCTTCCCCAGACCCAGCTGGGCTAGCTGTACTGGTTACTTGTCATTCTGCCGACGCATGGCCTAGATTCGAGGGTTCAGCTGCCCACTCTGGCCACCAGTCCCTGGCCCCCGTAACAGGCCGGATTCTGCCCATCCTGCCTCAGCCAGCCCCACATCCCCACCACCCATCAGGACCTCGCCAGCCAGAAGGGCCCACACTCATCCCGGAAATGTTCAAGGGAGCCCAAACCCACGGGGACACACAGCTCAGACAGGCCCCTGCAGTGACCCGGTGGTCAGGGTCTCCAGCCTGACATCCAGCCCTCCAGTCCTGGCTGCTGTGTCCAGCGGGGACCACCCAGTGACAGGCACTGCTGAGGGCCCCCCAGAAGGCCTCCAACAGTCTGCTCGTGGCAGCCTAAGCCTCAGGCCCCAGCCCAAGGGCAACAGCCGGCCGGTTCCGGTTTGGTCTGGGTGGCAATGGTGGGGTCAAACTGTCTGGACAAGTATTCACTTCAACCTGGTCCAGCAAGGGCCTGGGGCCTGGGCTGTGGGACACAGAGTGGTCCCCCAGGCCAGCCAGGCGAGGCAGCCACCAGCCACTGTAGGGCAAGGAAGGGGGAAGGGCCTTCCACTCAGTCAAGGGCCAAGCCCTGACTGCCCACCCACCCTGTCCTCCTAGGTGCCATAGAGGCCAGGGACCCCCGGGGGTGGGCAGAGGGCAGACAGGAAGCAGTCTCTGTCTCCTGTGCCATCCCACAAGGCCTGGGATGCAGAGAGGAGCTTGGAGGGAGACTTGGCAAGAGGAAGCCTGAGGGCAGGACGGTGTGGGGACTGGGTGCCAAGTGGGCCAGGGTCTGGCTCTACCTGGGGAGTTTCCACAGTGCCCCTGGCTCCAAAGCCTCCACCCACAGTCTGACTTCCAGTCCCCCATGGAGCCCTCACCCTCAGTGGTCCCAGAAAGGGGTCTTTCTGGATCAGCAGGCAGGGGAGCACTGCCCATAGGATCGCTATGAGTCAGAACCGTCTTGACGGCACCTAAGAACAACAACCAAAATGTGAAAACTTTCTCAGCTGAACAAAACAGTCAGTGGGCATAGTTTGCGGACCAGTGGCTTAAACAGGGCACAGAGGTGCAAGTGACAGGGCAGGGGCAGGCCCCGCCTCTCCAGAGGGCACATTCAGCCCAGGGAAGTGTCTCCATGGCACCCATCAGACAGGCGGGGATAGGCAGGGGCTGAATCGTCTGTTCCTAAGCCCAGCTGTGTCCCTACGCCTACAGGGCTGAGCTTCCAACAGGGTCTGGGTCCTGAGACTAGCCCACTGGCACTACCCAAGGGTGCTGTGTGTCTTGGAGCGGCCACACTGGGCTTGGGGGGAGGTGTGAGGAAGAGATTAGGGGCCTGAGGCACCCAGTCACAGAGTCACTGCGCTCAGTCTCCCTCACTGGCCTGAGGGCAATAAGCCCACCTCGCAGGGCTGCTGGGGGCTGGGGACCCAAGGAGGCTGCCACCACAGATGAAGGTGGCCAGAGCATGTGAAAGTGGGGGACAAAAGGGGGCAGAGACCCTGACGACCTCCAGTCCATGTCCAGGAATGGATGACTGCCAGGCTGGGGCTGCGGCCAGTCTGCTCAGGGGGCCGGCTCCCTGCCCTGGGGGAAGCTTGTGCCTGGTTCCACAGACTTCAGTTGTGTGCCCCCAGTGCATCGGTGGCACAGGGTGGCACAGGGGTGACACTCAACCCAAGACACTCAACAAGTTGTCATCGAAGTGACGCCAACTCCCGGCAACCCCCTGTGTGTCAGAGGACAACAGTGTATCCCATAGGGCGCTTGATGGCTGCTATTTCAGGAGATGGCTAGGTCTGTCTTTCAAGGCCCCTCTGAGTGGACGCGAACCGCCAACCTTTTGGTGAGTAGCAGCACTCTTAACCATGTGTGACACCAAGGGACTCTGTCAGAAGGGACTTAAAGGGGACCCCTAACACCGTGCTCCAACTTCAGCAGCACTGGGTTTGGAAACCAGTTCCAACCAACCCACGGGCGAGACTGTGTGGACCGGGAGCCACCAGCGGGAGGGGCGGGGCTTTCACTCTTCAGATGCCCATGATACTCTATACGACATGTTTCTAAGTCGTGACTTCAAATGGTCTGAAAAGAGAGGTGCTGTGGTGCAGGCCGTCCTAGCCCCACAGCTCACACCAGGACGCAGCAAAGCTGGGCGGGCTAATGAGGGTTTCCAGGGATTAAGGGCCTAATCCTTCCAACAACCCTGCTATTATCTCTCCTCCAGGACAGGTAAGGAAGCTGAGGATCAGGAAGGGTACTGGGGGGGTCTCGTGCAGCCTCCAGCCCCTCCCCTCCCCCTCCCAGAGCTTCCCGGTCAGGGCCGGGTCAGGGAGCTCCCACCAGCCAGGGGTGGCCTCAGGTCTTACTCATTTGTAATTCACTGAGGTCACACCGTGCCAGGTAGTTTGAAGGGGGTGCTTCCCCCAATCTGTACCTGGGGCCCTCTCTAGTCCCACTTCCCCAAGGAGACCTGAGGCTTCAGAACAGGTCCCCACCAGGAACTGAGGGCCTAAAGAGAACGAGGTGGACAGAGGAGGCTTCAGGGACGGACAGGCCTCCAGAGGCCAGAGGTTCAGCCCCAGTGTAGCCTCCGCTCCTCCCCGGTTAATGAACCACCCAGAGGCCCTGGGGCTCAAAGTCCAGTAGCAGCTGCCCCTGAGAGGGGGGTGGGGGAGTCTGCAGCGAGCAGTTTCCTGGAAAATGCCCCATACCCCTCAGAGGCCAGTGGGGCTGGGGTGTGGTCAGGCCAGAGGGGGAGTGCCTTCCATCAACCTGGGTCTTGAGGTACAAGCCGGAGCAACTTGGGGGCCACCCACAAGGCCCTCCTCTGGGGAACAGCACCCCATGACTAAACAGGCTGCTCTGGCCAGGCCTGGGGTAGCCATGGCCAGCCTGCCCATCAGCAGTCACCTTTCCTAACGTCCTTGACCCCAGACAGCTCTGGTACCAGGAACTCTGCTCCCCAGAAAAGCCACCAGCCTGGCCTCTGTAAACCTGACGAGATCTTTGTATTTTTACTACCCGGCCCATCTCGTTAAGGAACTGGATTAAGTTTATTGACCTATCAACTCACTACCTGTTTCACCAGCTCAGAGCAGGGAGGGGAGGGCAGTGCCCCTACACAGCGGCGGAGAGGGGGCAGGGGCGGCCTCTATCCGTGCCCCACCAGCGAAGCCTCATCTGCTGAGGGCAGCGACAGGCTCCCCAGGCTGTGCGCTGCCGCCGCCGGTGACAGGGCCTCGAAGGCGCTGTCCTACCCCGGTGGGGGATGGAGGGAGGCCCCTGCCCCACCCCCGCCGCCACAGGGGGGTCCCGAGGAGGGTCCGAGCCCAGCCCGCCCGCCCCTCACCGAGGCTACTTGGCATTCTGGAGCCGTAGGCACTAATATCTTCATCTGAATGCGAATGGTAATGTGGGGCTCCCCCCGCGGCCGCCTATTCGGCGCCCCTAGAAGCAGGGGCCGTGCGAGCAGGCGCTAAAAGCGCGCGCTGACCTCTCGGCGGCCTTGTCACGCTACTGAATGACACGCACATTCAAGCGCCGGGCCCACTTTCATTCATAAAAAAATGACATTGTTCCGGGAGGCTGCAGCCGCCGCGGGAGAAAGGGGCGCGGGGGGCGCGCGGAGGGGGCGGGCCGCCATCTGCCTCCTTCCTGCGGGCGGCCGGCCGCCTCCCTGGCACGCCGCGCCCGCGGCCACTCAGCTCACACCTCCCCGCGAGGCCGCGCCGCCATCAATGCGCGGTCTGTGGCCGCGTCGGGGTACAAAGGAGCGGCTGTTCGGGCCCAGCCCGGGTGGGGCGCGAGCGCACCGGCGAGGGACTCCCTGCGCGCCGCCCGCCAGCCAGGGCGCCCGGGGCCGGCCGGGGATGGGGCCCTGCACGCGCGTCCCCTCGCCCAGGCTCTCCTGGCCGGCGCCCTCGGAAGTGACTGTCCTAGGTGTCCCCGGCGGCCGCCCAGCCTGGCAGCGCGCGGGCGAGGGCGGGAGGCTCCCCGGGGCGCTCGGCGGGGGCCGGCACGTGTGCGCACGGGGTTCGAAGCAGGGCGCGCTCCCGCCCCTGCCCTGCCCTGCCCCCGCGAGCCCTGTGCGAAGACCCCCGCTGTCCCGCTGAACCTTGACCGCCAGCCGGGTCTACTGCTCCGAGTCCCTCGGACATGCCCCTCACCTCCCCGCGTCCCAGGCGCTGGGAGGACACCCCCTGAGGCAAGCCCCGTCACCCCTCTCTCTGGGCTGAAGGCTGGAGAGGTTGCCTAGTGAGGGAGCGCGGGCATAGGGAGGTGTCAGCGGGTCACGCGGGCCGATGGGGACCGGACAGGGTCGCAGCCCAAAGAACGGCCCGGGGGACGTGCTATCATTCCCACCGCAGCCGGTCCCCCGAGTCGGCCGCAGCCGCCCCGGAGAGGACGGGGGCGGCGGGGGAGCGAGGCGCCAGCAATAGAAACTTTACATCCGCGCAGAACTCGCAGAGCAACGAGGGGACCCGTAGGATCTCAGCTCCCACTCCCTCCCGACGGCGCCCGGGAACAGCCAGCGACTCCGCTGAGGAACCGCGGAAGGCGCGTAGGACGTCCCCGCTGCGCCCCGCTCCCCGCGGCAGCCTCCACGCTCCAGGCGCCCCACAAACCGCCGCGCCTCCTCCAGGCACGGTCCTGGAGGAGAGAGGGCGGCGGAACCCGGGCCCGGCCCCGCGGTGCCAGCTGAGGCGCCCGTTCCGCCCCGACGCCGCTGCCTGCCGGGCCCTGCCCCCTGGCCCTGTCCGGTCCTTACCTGCTGCTCTCCGCACGACGCGCAGCTCCGGGTCCGCGGGCCCCGAGACGGCGCCGGCCACGACGGCC